TTAGACATGGTTTTACTTAGTTTTTATGGACTCATGATTTTAATCAATCATGAATAGAGAGGACATTGTTCTTTTATACAACAAGTTCATATATCCTTTTCCATCTAATGAGGCATATAATCATATGAATTGCATTTTTCACATTAATTTGGCATTTTTTGCATACAGTCATAAAGAATTAAGAGAATGCTTAATAAAATTGGCATGACAACTTTATGTATGCGGATGGATTATACAACCCAATGGTACTAAACCATTACAAGAACAATAGATTTAACATACATACTCGTATTTATGTATTTTTGTATGTGAATTAATTTAATTTAATTATATATATATATATATATATATATATATATATATAATTTTGTATTTCCTTTTTGGCATTTATATATTGATTAATTGGGTTTATTGGAATTGATTTTGTACTACTAGACAAATTATTTAATTTAACCATTTCTGTTTGTTGCAGAATGAATCTCAAGGTCAAGCGGGGGTAGTTGGTCTTTAAGTAGTGTCCCTGTGCCAAAGGATATCTCTGCAGACAGTTTCTAGTACAATTTTAAATTATTCTGAAGACAGTTTCTACAACAAGTTCATGCAATGACGGACTCAGAAAATTATGTCAGGGGGCGGTCTTTAGGGTTTGGTCGGTGATGGAAAGAACTATAGAAGACAGAAGGCCTGAAGGGTTGAAGCTATATTATCTGATATATCATATATGTTCGTGCACGATGTGAGATGAGAGAATCAAAGTGTGAAAGAGATAAAATAATATTTTGCGAACTTATACAGTGAGGGTGCATTTGTGAAATTTCAGGGGGCATGGTATAAATTTTTTTAAAAAATCAAGTATATAATAATAATAATAAGAAATTCCAGAGGGGGCATTCACCCCCGGTCCCTTACAGGTCCGTCGCTGAGTTCATGTATTTATTTTCAATGTTAATTTATATTTTCTTAGCTATGCATGTCTAAGTAGCCGTCGATAAGAGCCTATTTGTTGAGCTTTGCAGCTTAGAACTTGAAAAACATTCTTATGATGCCTATTAGATTGGTGATTCTTTATTTTAATTTATTTTTTATTTTTTTAGATCTGGTGATTTTGGATTATAGATGTATATATTGAGATTTTATCTTTTATAGTACAACTGTAGGATTGAATTATTTTTTCCTTGATTTAGGGCTAATTATTTGGTAATTTGTTACCTATTTTAGTTAATCCTATTCTATAAATTGGATGTAATACTCATCCATGAAGAATCGAATATAGAGTTTTTAATTCTCATATTCTTTCTCTGAAATTCAAGATGGTATCAGAACATTGAACCGTACTTTTGAATCTCTTTGACTATCAATGAAGCATGAACAACCTCCAACAAGTGTTAACACAACAAGCTAACTCCTTGAGCATTGCAATGTGTTTTTCTCGGATATGCTACTCATCCAAAGGGGTATCGTTGTTATCACCCTCCCACTCGACGAATGTTTTATCACAATGGATGTTGTCTTCCATGAAGACTCGATGTATTTTTCCTTTGCGTCTGAACTTCAAGGGGAGTACCAGAACGAAATTCAGACTCTATTTTATGATTATCACATTTTTTAGGACGGAGATTCTAATGTTAATGATTCACAAATTGGACCAACTGCAATCAGGAATCAGTAGAATTGGATTCGAGTGGTATAAGTTTGGATCAAAGTGGTGATGCACACCCAAAAATGGAAAGTATGGCGCCAACCCCATTGTCATCCGAATTCGAGTCCCTCGTAATTGATATATCAAACCAATCGTCTGCTGAGGATGTTCTTGATTTGGTGCCTGAGCCACTCAGAAAACAATTATCATCGCATCACACTAGAGGTATTCATAAACCCATTTATGGACCCAAACTTTTTAGTAAAGTTAAGTATCCTATGAACAATAATGTGTCGAACCATCGTTTGTCAGAATAAAATTTGTCATTTGTAAATCAATTATCTACTGTATCTATTCCTAACAGTGTGCAGGAAGCCTTAGCTGACCCTAGGTGGAAAGCAGCTATGAATGAGTATATGAAATCCTTGTAGAAAAATGAAACTTGGGAACTCATTGATCCTCCACTAGGAAAGAAACCAGTTGGATGTCGATGGATTTACACTGTGAAGTATAAAGCATATGGCACAGTTGAATGCTTTAAAGTAAGATTGGTGGCAAAAGGTTACACCCAAACCTATGGAATTGATTACGTAGAGACGTTCGCACCCGTAACCAAAATAATCACAGCTCGTGTCTTGTTGTCTTTAGCTGCGAACTTGGATTAACCATTGCAATAATTCGATGTGAAGAATGCCTTTTTGCATGGTGAATTATCTGAAGAAGTCTAGATGGATCTCCAACCAGGATGCATGATACCTGAAAAGTATAGTCGGAAGGTCTGCAGGTTAAAAAAATCATTATATGGGTTGAAACAATTTCCAAGAGCATGGTTTGGAAGATTCACAAAGTTTATGATAGCCTTTGGCTACCGTTAGAGCAATTCAGACCACACGTTATTTTTGAAGAAACAACAGGGTTAGATCACTGTACTTATTGTATATTTAGATGACATGATCGTTACATGGAATGATTCTAAAGAAATAAAGGCTCTTAAGAAGTACTTGTCCAGAGAATTCGAAATGAAAGATCTAGGTCTTTTGAGATATTTTCTTGGGATCAAAGTATCTCGATCGAATAAATAAATCTTTCTATCTCAAAGAAAATATGCCTTAGATATATTACAAGAGACTGACATGACAGCATGTCAACCAGCTGAGATACTAGTGGAAGAAGGACTGAAGTTATGTGTTGAGTCCAACCAAATACCTGCTAATAAAGGAAGATACCAAAGACTTGTAGGAAGATTGATTGACTTAGCACACACGAGACCAGATCTGGCTTATGTATTGAGCATTGTTAACCAGTTTATGCATGATCCCGGAGAGCAACACATGAATGCAGTTATGCGCATTTTGAGGTATTTGAAATTTGCTCCTGGAAAAGGAATTTTGTTCACTAAAAATGCTGGTTATCAAAACATAGATGCATATACTGATGTTGACTGGGCTGGAGCTATAGATTATAGGCGATCTACTTCTGGTTACTTTACTTTTGTAAGAGGTAATCTTGTTACATGGAGAAGCAAGAAACAAACTGTTGTTGCTCGCTCGAGTGCAGAAAATGAATTTAGAGGTATAACACTTGCACTTGTGAAACATTGTGGTTAAGACTTCTTTTGCGGGATTTGGGTTATCTACCTGGGCAACCTATTCTACTCTATTGTGACAATATAGCAGCATGTGATATTGCCCATAATCCAGTTCAACATGATCGTACGAAGCATGTTGAAATAAACAAATTTTTCATTAAGGAGAAGTTGGATGGGAAAATTGTGGAGTTGCCTAAGATTCAATTTGAGAGTCAACTAACCGACATTCCCACCAAAGCAGTCTCAAATCAAGTGTTTTCAAAATTTTTAGACAAGTTGGGCATGTGTGACATCTATGCACCAATTTGAGGGGGAGTGTTGAGATTTTATCTCTTATAGTACAACTGTATGATTGAATTATTTTCTCCTTGATTTAGGACTAATTGGTAGGTAATTTGTTACCTATTTTAGCTAATCCTATTCTATAAATTGGATGTAATACTCATCAATGAAGAATCGAATATAGAGTTTTTAATTCTCATATTCTTTCTCTGAATTTCAAGAGTACACCCTTTTTCTCAATTGTTTTTGGATTTTCAAGAATAAAGAAGGGAATTTGCATAATTATGTACTTGTTATGAATGTGTCCCAGCTTCCTAGCATATTTATGAACAAGCCCACAAGCCCCTCCTATTGAAAATTGAGTCTTTATCTGTAAAATTAGACAATGCCAAGCTAAAGGATAGTGATCGATCCTCACTGCTTTCAACTTGAGACCATAGATTAAGCAAAATTTGGTCTTAATTTTCCTTCTCAAAATCCAACCTGAAATGGCTTGTATGGTTAACATCCAAATTACAATTGCTTGAAAACCAAGAACACCCTTATAAACTTTCTTTCTGATCTAACATTTTGTCCCAACCAGCCCACCAAAAACTGATTAGTTTGCTCCAAAATCCAAAATATTGTGAGTCAAAAATGGAAGAAAAAGAATCCCTTTTGGTTATAACCCAACCTTGGCAATTGAAGGAGGAGGTTGAACTTGAACCTCCATGGGAGTTGGTGTGTGTTGCAGAAAGTGACCTACTTGAATTCGATATTGCTGTGGAGGTCCATTTTCTATTTGGGTCATAAACAGGACCTTGGAACCGCCCATTATGCAGAGTGTTGGGTTTAAGAAACAGAAATCAAAATACCTTAGTGGCCCAGCCCAATAAAAGGGTTGAGACCAGGCCAAGACAACTAGGCCCCATACGGCCCAATCCCAATGATAGGTCGTGTTGGTGGCGCGTGGTTTAGGATATCTGTCATTGTTGATTGTTGGGCGAGTGTTGGCTTCTCTCTGGCGAGCAATGCCTTGAAGGGAAGGGGAAGGGACGTGTGTAAGTGCGCAGTGCAGAGAGTCAGCTGAATTTCTCTCTCTAGAGTAACGTAAAACACACACTCTCTCTCTTTAACTGACTGCTTCAGTTGTCTGCACTACGAATGAGCTAGACCCTGAAATTTGGAGTGATTTGGTGCCGAATAGGGTACGATTTTGAGGTTAAAAGGGGATTGAAATAATTCTCTGAATAGGGTTTGTGTTCTGTGCGTGAATAGGGTGGAGAAGAAGACCCAGTTCGGGCCAGTGATTTGGTGGTGCACGTTTCTTATGCTGGGTGTGTGTTTCAATCTATGGTTGCACATTTTTGGTACTATTACTCGTGCAGTTTATGGAAAATTTGAAACATCTAGGGCATGAAACCTGCGCTCTGCACAATCATGCTTCCAGAGCTCACTGGAAGTTTTATGTATTAAAGATTTCTGTAAAGCAGGTATGCATGATTTACAATTATTCGTAATTAAATTTTTTTTTTTTTTTTTTCACCATATTTAATAATCTTATTGTTCTCCAATGTAAATTTTCAAATTGAATTTAATGTCATGTTTTTCATTATTTAATCCTATTATTTTGACATAATCTGTTTTACTTCGAAAAACCAAGTATATTCCGAGATGCTAATTGCACTCACTTTACAGGGAAAATCTGTTTTCAATTTTTTATTTTTTTATTTTTATTTATTTTTTTGACATCTCTGCGAGTCTGTTTCCTATGCAAAATTATCACTGTAATTATATGCAAAAATTGTCTTTTACTGCTATGCTAAATAACTCTGTTTTCTATGCAAAATTATCACTGTAGGTATATGCAAAAATTGTCTTGTACTGCTATATAAGTATATGCAAAATTAGTCTTCTTTTTATGGAACATACACAGTCTTGTAAATTTTAAAGTTGGAACTTAATGTCGTGTTTTTCATTATTTAGTCCTATTATTTTCACATAAAGATCTGTTAGAAATACTATAAGTATATGCAGAAATGTGAATTGTCCTCGATGTATAGGAAAAACTTTTCTTGATGCTAAAACATATATGTAAGTAATAAGTATGTCCAGGTTTTTTTCGTATATGCAAATAATAAGAAATAGAGCATCTATATTTTTTTCCTATTGGGAGTTAGAATACTTTGTGATCGAGTGACCATTTGTTTTATTAGTAGCCTACTAAACATTTTGGTTTAGCTAGTATGTCAAAATCGTGACATAAGAAGTATATGGTTTCTTAGTTGGCAAAGCTAAATAGCAAAAATTTTTCTTTCACCTTTTGAGGATCATCTGGTCAGCACAATACCTAAGAAGATTCTTTCAACAGGTTCACCAAATTCAAAATATCTTGTAACCTATTTTTTATGGTTTTCAATGATTAACCTAGGGTTAAAGTTTCTTGATACATCATGTGAAGTCTTAGCATATATATATATATATAGTTTTTTTTTTTTTTTCCTTTTCTTTCAATTGTTCATAAATGGAAAGTGGCCTATTTATATTTGGATGAGCTACATTTTCTTGGATGATATTCAGTTTGAGGACTTCTGATGCTTTTTGTGCTTGCAATGATTCTTCTTTCTTTCTTTGATCTTTTGCCTTGTCTGGATGGTTGTGGTGCTTTTCTATTTGCTTTGGAAGGATTTCTCATTCTTATTCTCTTGGTGTCGTCCATATATATATATATATATTTTGTTTGAATAATGATATACCGTCTGACTAGTTTGGCCGAATTTCCGTTCGATCGGAATCCTATGTAACATAGCCATGTCATTTTGCAACTAAAAAAATTGTTTCTGCGCAAGGTGCAAGCCTGGGAAACTGAAAAGTTCTACAATCTGTTAGGACCCCTCTCTCTCCTCTCTTCTTTTTTGCCTCTCTCACTCTGTCATCGATATCTTCTCTCTTGGTCTTTGATTCTTCATTTCTCCTCTGCCTACGATCTGGATCTCTTTGTCTTTTTGATTCTGCCAAATCAAAGGCGGAAACAAAGCATTTGTTTCGTAAAATCTAAGAGGAAATAAAGCATGAAATGTTTATGTTTCTCCAATGAGAAACGTATTGAAATTTTTTGAATGAGAATTGCTATGTTTCTACTGAAGATGAAGATTTTTTCTCATATGTTGTTAAGAATTTTGAATGAGTTTCTACTGCATCAGGTTCAATTATCATTTTGTCTCCATCTTTTCATTGGTTTAGGGCATTCAAAGTTTAGTTAATGCCCCCCCTTTTTATTATTATTATTTTTTGACATGTTTCTTTGTACCATATGCTTAATTGTTGTTTCTTTGTACCATATGCTTAATTGTTGTTTCTTTGTACCATATGCTTAATTGTTGTTTATACTCCAAATCACACCTTTATTTAAATTCTAGTAGTTCATATGTGAAATTTTTAATTTTTAGTTTATTTTGTTCACTCATTGGAAAGATAAAAAGATGCGTTGCAATGAGGGATAAAAATTGTCTCCATTGCGCCTCTCACTGGATTGGACCAATTAGGGGGTAATTGGGTAAATATGCCTAAGGTAAAATCGTATTTACTAGCTTCCTTGCTTTTTACAGCTTCTTTGTATTCCTGCTTTATACACCGTATTTATTTTATTATTTATTAATCTGACTTGGACTTGTACATGGGCCCAGGTCTTTGGAAGATTGACAAAAAATTTGAAATTTGAAATCCCCCAACCAAAACGAGAGGCCCAGGTTTTTGTTTCATCTTCTCCCCCGACCAAAACTAGAGGTCTCCATTTTTTTCCCTTCAAAAACACACAGCTCTCCCAACCAAAACCACAGCTGCTCCAACCAAAAACTGAGGAATTTGTTTCTCTCTGCAAGAATTTTCAAGCAGAGTCAGTTACTATTCAGTCGCCAAATCTGAGCGGTTGAATCTCTCGTCAATTCTTTCATTTCTTCCGATTTCAATTTATTGATTCAGACGCGGTTAGCTACTCTATACTCTGTATTTCTCATTTCAAAGTATTGATTCGGACGCAGTTAGCTATTCGGACGCGTTTGTTCCTGATTCCTTTTCCTCCCTGTGGAATGTGATTTATCCAACGGATTTAAATGATTAGACTTTGCAGCATTTTACTCTACTTACCAATTGATTTTTGCATTACTTGATTTCATCATTCACAACTTTTGACAGGAAGCTCTAATAGTATTGTGGCATGCAGCCTTTCCATCGACTGGCTTTAGGTAACATCTGTAACTTAAAATGCTAACTTGAGTTTAAGGTGTCTATTTGGTGATAATCATATTATAATTGAGATTTTTGTCTTATTTTCTACTTATAAACAGTATATTGAGGAGTGTTGGATGTGACATGGAAAAGATACAATCAGTTGTTTTTACATGATTTTATTGACAGTAAATTTGGTTTTCCCGTAGCTGAAATGAGTTTGATATGGTGATTTCATCAAATGCTGTGCCTTGATTTTTCAAAAGCCTTGTGGTCTATTTCATCAGGACCTCCTTTCTAAGAACTGGTTTGTGCTTCAAATGCTAGGGGCTGTTTGGTTATGAAGGTTCAGAGTCATTTTATAGGAACCTTATTATGTGATAAAAATCGAAGCAACGGAAAGCTGGTCTTTAAATAACATTAATAGTTGGAGTGTATAGGTATTCTCTGATTCATTTTACATCACATTTCCTAACAGAAACAAATGGAAAAATGCCATCTTCACAGACATCCAAATTAAATCTTAATGTCAAAGAAATTGGTGAATCTGATGCAACTCAGATGATCTTTTTGTTGTGAAAAAAGGGAGGGTATCACTGTCCATAAAAAAAATTCATCTTAGCATGGTTGTGGCTTTTGCTCCTTTTATTTGTAGGGATGAGGAAGGGTTGTTTTATGCATTAGACCTTGGTGGCACAAATTTTGTTCTTCTGGTACAGTTGGGTGGAAAGACAAACATGTTGTTAAATAAGAATTTTAGGAAGTTTCTATTCCTCCACATTTGATGGTTGGCAGTTCAGATGGGAGTATCTATTCAAGCATCCACACAATATCCGACTCTCATTTGATTGCCTTAAAGTCTGAAGCTTCAAACTATGGTGATTTCAGGCTTATTTAATTTTATTGCTGAGGCACTCACTAAATTTGTTGCTACAGTAGGTGAATCTTTCCATCTTTCACCTGGTAGACAAAGGGAGCTGGGTTTCACCTTTTCATTCCCAGTTAGGCAATCATCCATTGCAGGAGGAAGTCTTACTAAATGGACAAAAGGCTTCTCTATCGAATCAATGCGGTTAATCTCAGTTACCCTTACTCTTGAACTGTGTAATCTTTATTTATTATTTTTACTTGCAGTTTCTAATATTAGTTCTTACTTCAAATAATGTAGATGTCTACAAGTGAATAAATTAATATTGAATTGTTCTGTTCAGAATTCTGGTTGAGAAAAATGCTTGTATTTCACAAAATTTATCCTTCTATAAATTAATGTCATGGTAATCAAATTCCTCATAAGTCAACCGTATATTTAGGCATCAGAGTTGCTGCCAGAGGCATGAATTTCTGCCCGAGTTCGTAAATTAGTGTGACTTAGATTAGCTTCTTGTCATGACTAAAGAAGGTCTTAATGGGTCAATACAGAAAAGTTCTTCTGACCAGATTATTTAGAACTCACTTCTTAAATTCAAAATAAAAAATTCCAATTCTAGTTCAAGTGAAACTTTGATAAGAAATATTCTTTGTATTTTTGTAAGAGTTGTGCTTTTCAATAGTTATGCTTGATTATGGCTTTATTGTAAATTGATCGTTTTGTCAATTGATATGGTCAATTATTTTATAGTCTAGAAGCATGCTTTTGGATTGCCACTTAATTTAAGAACTGCCCGGAGCATTTCCCTTTCCTGGTTAATTGAACCATGTATATCATAAAAGGCCATTGTTGTATCTATTCATTACTAAATTATTAGTGCTTTCTATTTCAATTTTCAAAGTATTGATTTTAGTTTCATAAGCTATTTCTTAGTTGATAAACAGTACTAGGATCAATGCCTGTTTTAATTGGCTTCATTAAGCATAATATAAAATTTTGTTCTGAGAGGTAAGGACTTATTAGGTCCAACCGTCCAACACTTGCTCTATCTATTTTTTTGCCTATAATGCTCTCTTCTGGTTTTATTTGGCTCATTATAGGTTGGACAAGATGTTGTGGTTACTTCAGTAACTGTTGTTTTCTTTTTATATGAATATTGTCAGAATGATTGACAGTTTGTTGCTGGTGATATATTTCAGATGTCAATCTGGTCAGCTTCCTTGGTATTTTGCTTGGTGGCTTACAGTATAAACTTGACCTCCTTAACTTGTTTGATTAATGCAGGTGAATGATACAATTGGAACATTAGCAGGAGGCATATACTACAACCAGGCTGTCATTGCTGTTTTGATTTCGGGTACAGGAACTAATGCAGCATATGTGGAGCAGGCACATGCAATTCCCAAATGGCACGGTCTACTGCCTAAATCAGGTGAGATGGTTAGCAGCTTTCAAATGTTTGAACCGATTGTTTTCAAATCAAGATTTAAACTTTCTTCTAATTCATTTTTTTATACTTTTAATTTGTCCCTTCCATTGGGTAGAAGTGTTTGTGTTTCCAAACCAGGTTTCAATCTGTAACTTGATATGCGATTGTTTCTTAATAGAAGATATTTGGGATGGTATTTTAATTTTTATATTCTTGGAAAGAACTAGTAAAACTAATATTTGATTTTTTGCTTCTGCATACAGGGGTCTATCATATAATAAGGGCTTAATAGGTTCTCTTCCCTCATAAATTGAAAATTTTAAGAAGTTATTGGACTTGTAAGGACAATCTTATTTTTTTTATTAAAATATTAACTGATAACTAAAATGGTAATTACAATGCTCTGATAAACCAATTTGATTCTACACACCATCAGAATTCTAGTTGGTTGCAGGTTTATTGGTCTGATTCCAGAGATGATATCATCTCTCCAGCAGCTTGTTTTCTTGTAATGATTTCAATCTGGTATTCTTGTTCTATTTTAATGTGAGAGCTAATGAACATGCGAGTCCTTTGCTGAAATTTGGCCTTTAAACTTCTTTAATAAGTGAAGCATCTAGCTCCAGTATGTTTGGAAGGAAAAAATTAAGACCGACTTTTTCATACTAGTTGCACCTCTATTTTTCCTTGTATATGTGTTATTTAATTATGTATTTGTCAATGTCATGTTGTGGCCCGAATTTGGTGCAGGGTTGTGTTGCAACCCGTTGATTGTGCTTAAAGTAGGGCCTTAGTCCACCAAAGGTATGGGGTTTGTGGGCAGTGGCCCCAAGGAAAAATTTTGACCCGGTTTTTGCTTGCGGGTCGTGGATCCTATTTAGTACCCCTCTCTTGTAGCCCGATATATTAGGGCATTCAGGATTTGGAGTGGATTATAGAGAGACATTGAAAATCACGTAAAAGAGAGTGAGAGCGAGAGCGAGAGCTAGGTTTTGGGGCTGAAACTTGTAATCCCCTGAATTCCACGTAGTGAAAACTTTCGCCGGATCTTCACCATAGATGTAGGCTTTGCCGAACCACACTAAATCTTTTTGTTCTTTGTGTGGTGTTTTTACTTTTGTGTCGTGTTTCTTGATTTGTTCTTGGGTTCGCTGCATTTGTCGTCACAGTCAAAGAAAGCATCTCACAAGGTTTTGAACTGGTTCTTTGAAGTTCTGTAACTCCAAATCCCTTCCCCCACAAGGCCAGTGGATGCTAACCTTTTTGTCACTATATTATTTATAGAAACTGGTGTGCAAGGAGAATGGGATGTAATCCGCTTCCTATATATTTGATTTGCAAAATCAAATTTAGAGCTCTCTGAAAATCAAATCTCTAGATACTGTTTCAAAGAAGCAAAACCAGAACAAATTCAGACCTACTGTATATATAAAGATTTTGTTGAATGAGAGAAAAAATTGAATGAAGCAAGAAGGCAATTTTGAAAGAGAGAATGTTCAGGTTGCATAGACACGAGCCAGAATCTGTCAAGTCTGGAGAGAGAATCGATTTCAACTTCTCCAACATTCAGCCTCTTCAGGTCTCCTCTCGTTTTTCACTTTTATTTTTTGTTTGTGTTATTTTTTTAAGTTTGATTAATAAACTGTTGGAACTTGGAAGATATTAATACTTATGATGTTTTGAAATAAAGCAAATTCTGCAATACGGAGTAGTAAAGATTTATATTATTACCCAGAATTCCGGAACAATTAAAAGATGGTTAGGTCTTAAACATTCAGCTAATTACTTTATTTATTGTCATCACCATTTTGGTGTGGTATGTATTTGATGTGACTGGATGACACTGGGCAAAGTGGTAATGTAAGAGAATTTGTAATCATAATTTTGGAGCTAATATAACAAGGAATTTTTATTGTGGATGTGAGTATATGTAAACGAGTAAAGATTTTTATTTTTATTTTTATTTTTTATCAATTATTGGATATTTATTGAATTTGTGTTTTATCCATTTTATAAAAATTGCCGGAAAAAAAAAGAAAGATATATACTTAAATATGAAAACCCTTATCTTGTAGGAATCAGTATGAGGTGATATTCTCACTAAACTGTTTGATTTTAAGTTTTCTCAAATTCTTGTTTTTAGTTCATTATGATTATAATCTACACCTATTTGAAAATTAATGGCAATTTTTGATACTCTCACTCTTTGAAACTTAATATCTCCTTTAGTGCTAACATTGTCAATTTATGGATCCTCCTATAGTTGGTCACGATGAAGCTCTTTAATTTTTCTATATTTAGTGGTTATGAAGCTATCAATGGATATTCTGAATATTTAAGTCCTATAAATCATTGATATGGTTATCTTTTGCTAATTGAAGTGCAAAGAAATTTGAAAAATGGCTTCTGCCATTTTATTTTGTTAAATGTTATGCAGTACAGGACTTTGCCATCATTGTCATGTTGAAGTTTTTACCAACCTGTCATGGTGTATTATGGTATTGTCACTACCATTTTCATGACTGAAAACTTGTCTTTAGGGTACTAGTCAATCATAGTATTAGAGTGGACAGGCTCACCCTTCAACCTTCTAACTAATTGACCAAGTTTGACAGGGTAGTTTGGGAACGGTAGAGAATATAGAAAAGCAGAAAACAAGTCAATATATGCTTTTAGAGCATAACAAACCTGCAATTCCAACTATTTTTCCATTTTACTCTAGGAGTTAAAATATTTCATTTATTTAATATCTCATTAGATCAACTATCTTTATTATGATAGGTAAAATTTCGCTTACCTTGTTTGACAATAATAATATATGCTCCTTTTTACATGCTTCCTTCATTAAATACATCATTTTAAAAAAATTCTATAACCTATTCTTGGCATAGATTTGGTTTCTTTTATCAATGCAGTGTATGTGCAGCGGGTGTGCAAAGGTTTTAATGTTCCAAAGGCCACCCAATTTTCAGGCAAGGAGTTGAGAGGGTTTTGGAGATTAAATATACTGGACCTGACGTGTATATAAGTTCTTTATTTTCTTTTTCTCCTCCACAATCTTTTCTCTTCACTTTCTTAGGTTTCAGTATTCAGACAAAAACATTATTAGTATGCAGTTTGTATTGCATATAATGTTGTCATTTTATTGGCATTAATTGATTACAATGTTGTAAGCCAATGCTTTATTTGTTTGTGCAAGTTTCTAATGGCATTTTCTTTTGAGTTGTTTCTATTTCAAAGGAAATATATAGTGTTTTCGATTTGGTTTGATTAATGTTTAGAATCAACGACTTGAAGTGTATTTCTAGTCTTCTTCCCCAACTCTCCCTTTAGTGAAGAACTTCTGAAGTTATCATGGAGTTATGAGTTTTTTTATTGCCAAGTTCTTTTGGGGTGAATTAAACAAAAAAAAAAAAAAGAAAAGAAAAAAAGAAAAGTTCCTGCAATGAATTTACACACATGTATATACACATAATTCTCGAATCCATTCCAGAAAAGAGCTAGCTATTGTCCTAAAGTGCAAGATGATCAGGTGGAGACTATAATGGCCAGTTTTGTGATCTCTGCTTTGCAATGTTTTTGGTGTCTTCAGCTTGAGATGAACTTTGAAAGTGATTTATATAATAATTATTGAGAATAATCACTATTCAGGGGCTTCCCAGATCACCAAATTGCATGGTTATCAAAATCGCGATTCTGAGTCGTAGAATCGCACGATTTTACGATTAAGAATTCAAAATCAATCCAAATCTTAGCAAAATTGCTCAATTGGTAGAATCGGGGGTAGAATCGTACGATTCTACGCGATTCTATCGATTCAACAAAAATGAGTGTTTGGACGGGCCTTTATAGTATTTGGTCTTTGATTATACACAATTCTATCGATTCAACAAAAATGAGTGTTTGGACAGGCCTTTATAGTATTTGGTCTTTAGGCCTTTATTCTATTGGTTGTTTGGAATATTATATAGAGTAGAAATATATAAAAAGAAGAGAAAAGAGAGAATTGCGTAAAGGCTTGAATGAGATGAATTACCCATTCACAGTTCTAGTATTTATAGATAAAATGAGCACATGCACATATTACAAGAAAGAAAACTAAATCAAATCATTGCATATTCTATGCCTAGACATATGCGTAAATAAAGTCAAATACATGATTTGTGGCTATCATATCTCACAGATAATATGGTAAATCACATCCCATGATTTGGGCCTATCATATCTCGGCTATTATGGTAAGTTATACCATAAATCGTGGTATCATAAATGCTAACACTCCCCCTCAAGTTGGTGCGTGGATATCTGAAACGCCCAACTTGGACAATGCATTTTCAAACACAATCTTGCTGACGCCCTATGTAAGAATGTCTGCAAGCTGCTGAGAGCTTGTGACAAATGGAGTGCAAATTTGAACAGAGATAATCTTCTCTCGAATGAAGTGATGGTCCACCTCTATATGCTTAGTCCTGTCATGCTGAACGGGATTTGCTGCTATGCTAATGGCAGACTTGTTGTCGCAGTAAAGTGAGAATGGAAGCGACACTGGAAGGCACAAGTCTGTCATCAAGGTTTTCAGCCAAAGCAACTCACCTACCCTAAGAGCCATAGCCCTATACTCTGCCTCTGCACTAGATCGAGAGACAACATCCTGCTTCTTATTGCGCCAAGTAACCAAGTTACCACCAATAGTGGTACAATAACCTGAAGTAGACCTCCTATCTGAAATTAATCCTGCATAATCAGCATCTGTCCAAGCCTCAACACGTAAGTGACCATGATTAGCAAACAAAATACCACGGCCTGGACACCCTTTTAAGTAGCGAAGAATCCGAATAGCTGCATCAAGGTGTGGGGCACGAGGAGAGTGCATGAATTGACTTACGACACTTACGGCATAAGCAATGTCAGGTCGAGTCATGGATAAATAGATGAGCTTCCCCACAAGTCGTTGATACTGACCAATATCTGACAACAACTCGCCCTTAGAATCAGCCAACCGATGATTCTGCTCAATCGGAGTATCAGCGGGACGAGCGCCAAGCTGACCAAAAGCAGAAAGCAAGTCAAGAACATACTTGCGTTGAGAGATGAAAATGCCAGTCTTGGAGCGAGCCACCTCAATGCCCAAGAAGTATCGTAGGGGACCAAGATCCTTAATCTCAAACTGACGGCCAAGATAGCTCTTAACCTCATTAATTCTGGTAGTATCATCGCCGGCAAGAATAATATCATCAACATACACAATGAGAGCAACTGTCTTACCGCCTAAATGACGTAAAAACAAGGTATGATCAGCTGCACTTTGATGGAAACCAAACTTGAGCATAGCAGTGCCAAAGTGATCAGACCAAGCTCGAGGAGACTGCTTGAGGTCATATAGAGAACGACGAAGACGACATACCATACCAGAATGAGCAGGAGAACGAAAGCCCGGAAGAGGAACTATGTACATCTCCTCTTGCAAATCACCATTAAGAAATGCATTCTTGACATCTAACTGAAATAGAGGCCAAGATCGAATTGCAGCAACGAAAAATAATACACGGATGGTATTCATCTTAGCAATAGGGGCAAAAGTCTCTTGATAATCAATGCCGTAAGTCTGAGCATAACCTTGGCAACCAATCGGGCCTTGTAACGAGCAACTGCCCTATCTGGATTATGCTTGACTGTAAACACCCAACGACAACCCACAGCCTTTCGTCCAATAGGAAGCGGAACCATGTCCCAAGTCTGATTTTTTTCAAGTGCTTATAGTTCTTTTGTCATAGCATCACGCCATTGAGGTTGTGCTAGCGCATCTGCAACACTGGAAGGAACAGGAACCGAGGCAACAGAAACAAAAAACTCCGATAGGAGGGTGAGAGAGCATAATCAGAAACAAAATTAGAAATAGGGTAAGTACAAGAATGTTTATCCTTTCGAAGAACAATGGGGCTATCATCAAGCGAAACAATAGCTTGAGAAGTCGGAGCTGGTGCTGAAGGAACAGGGGTATCACGAGGAGGAATTATAGAAGAAGAAATAGGTAACGGTAGAGGAGTTGAAGACGGAAGAAGGTGATCATCCATTATATTCAATGGGAACCATTCACTCTGAGAACCAACTGAACCACTATAGTATGGTGTATGTGGTGCGACCGAGCGTGTGCACAAAATAATGCACAACACTTTAGGTTTAGAAATAATGTCAAGTGGGCACCATATTTTAAAATTTATAAAACCACTAAACACTTATACTATGGAGTATGAAGTGAGCAGGGATCGTCCCAAGAGATCTAAACAATTATAGGTTTTCCAGAATTGAATTCTACTTTAGTGCTTATGTGATTGCCAAAAGGGTTTTGTTTGTGATTAAAACTAATTTTAAACTAAATGATTGCAATAAAGAAATATAGTTTAAGAGATTGGAAAGAGACTTAGGGTGTAGGATTCACCACTAAGCACATTCCCTAACTTACTCACTTTCAACTAATTGGGGAAATAATACTATGTAATCTATATGTGGCTAACAAGTGCAATGAAAAGTGTAAACCATCAATTTCAAGCATGAATCAACTACCTAATGACAATTAAACTAAGTGTAGTGCAATTCACCCATTCAAAGCATGATTTATCAATCCAAGTTTCAAATTTAACACACATTAATCTAGAAGATAATGCAATTATGACAAAAAGTATGGAATTCAAACATAAGTATGGATGGTCTACTTACCTAATAATTGAATTGCAATTAAATTAATTAAACTTAAATTAAACTAATTAAACATGAATTTTAAAACTAATTAAACAACAAATTAACCTAAATATGTAGTACCATCCATCAAATGTAAGCATTTTTCATCAATTTGAAACACAATTACAACTAAGCAATACCATGCATAGCCATCACAAGAATCAATTAACAAAGAATTCATGTGTAAAATTTGTTTATCAATCAACCGCACATAAGACAATATGAGATTAATACAGATAATCAATTGGAAGAATTTAATTCATAATATTCAAGACTATACACTAATTGCATAAATTAATCCCCAAAAAGTATGAAAAGAGAGAGAGAATAGGTTACATGCTTAGGGTTTATCCAACCCTAAGTAGAAGAATCAGCCACTCATGGTTGATGGAGTCGAAGATAGGACAATCCCCATCATCTGCTTCATCTTCTCTGAACTTTTCTTCCAAACCCTAGCCTGTTCTTCTTTTTCCCTTTCTTCGCGTGTTTTTCCAGAGAGAAAATACGATACCACGATACAGAAAAAAAAATAAAAATAAAACTCTTTTTTTCTTTCTCTAATAATCTTTACTTAAATAAAAACTAAAACTAACCCTAATCTAATGGCTCACTGGGCCTTAAGTAACAATCTCATTAAAGCCCAACAGTTCCCAAAATGAGCCCAAAAATTAAATAAAAACTGTAATGTTGCTAAGTCCTGGGGGATCGATCCCCCACCCTGGGGATCGATCCCCCCAGAGTTGACAAATTCCTTTAAGCCTTATTCAGCTCCATTTTTGTCCCGGGCTATTTGGTTTGCTTCTCCATCTTTAGGAACATCATCAAAGGCCCGAAATTGACCGCTTTGTGCCATTGTCTGAAAATCTTTGCTTAACTCCAAAAAGGCTTAATTGGACCGTTCTTAGCTCATTTTAACTTTATTGCCCTGAAATACACATAAACATAAATTAGGACTAAAACATAAAATTAAGATAGATGCAAAGACTAAAATACCTTAGCTTAGGTGCTGAAATGTGCAACATTTAAGCACTTATCACGCCCCCAAACTTAGATATTGCTAGTCCCTAGCAATAAATACAGCATGGAAATGAAACAAACATATATACAATTATGAACTAATAAAGCAAATAAAGATAACACCACTTTCGTAGGGATCACGGTTGCATTTAGCATATGTAACAAGCCTTTTAAACCCCTAGGTTACCCCTAGTGGACGAGTGAAGTCTCGTGAGGGTTTGCAGAAATGATACCCACAAACATCAACAGTTCTTTCTTACTTGAGAAGCAACGACATATATCAAATAAGTGTTTAAAGTAGACTACTTCAAGTATGCAAATTTCTGCCATTTCTAAGCTATTATCAATATTTCAACATCATGTAAGCAACAATGGTCCTCCACACATCAAGCAAGTTAATCATGCAAATTGAATCAATTCTATCATCCTTTTTTAGTGAACCGGCATCAAAATGTGTTGCTATCTTAGCAAAT